CCACACATTGCATTGCAGCTCACTCCCCGCACCCCGATCCGCTCTCCCGGCCTCTCCCAGGCAGGAAAGCGGGAGCCCCCCGGAAAGCAGAGCCGCTGCCCCCCCCCCGCCCCCAGCCAAACTTTGCCACGGCAAACGCGGCGGGGCGGGGGGCGAGTGCGAGGCTCCGGTGGCAGCAGGACGCGGGGAGCCCCGTGCCTTCCTGCCCGGGCTTCCCTGCTGCTGGGGGAGTGCAGCGCTGCCGAGTGAGTGGGAGCAAAGTGTGCGCAGAGGGGAGCCCTGCGAGCCCAGATGGCCCCAGCAAGGGGCACTTACCTCTCCGTGTGCCTGCGTGTGTGGGGAGGGGACGATGAGTGGCCGGGCAGTGCTTCTCTCTGGGGGCAAGTGGCGAGAGAGCCGGCGCGAGAGCAGTCCGTGCTCACTGTACCCTGCTCCACATACAGTACATGCAAGCCGGAGAGCCCTGAAAACATTCATTTTTGATAGAAGGCAGCCTGCCATTGGCTCCGGGACTGAGAGACAGCTCGGCCAGCCATACAGCTGGCCCGTTACACCCAAAGACGGGCGCTCGTGCACACACACGCACGCACACACACACTCCTATGCAGACACCCACACGCACAAAGATCATCACGGCTCTTCTAACAGTGTTTCAGGACCTGTAGGCAGCCGAGCAGGGAGCAGGGCACTCAGCATGGCAGCCCGGCACTACTTCCAGTGCTTGAAACTGGTGTCCATTGGCTGACTGGGCAGGGTTGTGGTAATAAACGACAACTCCACTGGATACCCAACTGGGGGGTTGTTGCTGCCACTGGCTAGTGCCCCATGAAAGAGCAGTGCTTTGTGTTATGATTTCCTAGTAAACAAGTAGCGGAGGCAGAAATGCAGTTCTTTGCTGCTGGTTTTGCTCTTGGGAGGAGGAGGGGGAGGCGGGGGGAAGATTATGAAATGCTGAAATGGCTGTTATGCTACTGATTTCAACAAGTGCAAGTTAAAGCCCATAAAAAGCTATACCCAGAAGAATTTGTATGTTGTATGCTTACAATTCTGGTCTTTACATCTCTCAGGCAGAGTGACACCCTGCCCCTGCTTTGATGAAAAGCATAAATAAATGTGT